AGCCAATCATACCTCTCCACGCCCCCTAGGATAGCTTGCCCACTCCTCCCCCTCCTAACCCCTTATAAGCGCCCCACCTCCCTAACCGGGTGTGACTTCTCTGGCCTCTGACAAGAAAGCCACAGAACCTCACCCAGGGGTATTTAAATAAACTACCTGGCCCTTTATTGCCTCTCTTTGCCTGCTTATTTCGGCTAGAATTTACCTTACACTTATGATTAGTGATGCTGAGCAATTTTTCATGTGTTTACTGGCCAAAATCAAAATATTTTTAATGTGCTAAGTGAAGTGAAATATATTCGTTTCATCTGTTTATTTTTACTTTTTAAAAATGGCTACTAGCAAATTTAAAACTACATATGTGACTCACTTCTCTTGTAAAGCACTAGACAAAATGAACCGAATTCCTTTCCTAGGTAAGCCGCTCTCATTCCTGGTGTCCGAGCAGACAGGGCTCGAAGCTTGCCATCAGCAGGGGACCGTTCTGACCAAGCAGCAATGTGGGGAACTGAGAGCAGGGCCAGAAAGCAGAGATCTCATGGTGATAGGCAGTGCTTAGATCCTAAGTCCCTGCCGCAGCAAGTGAACAAGGCTATTATCATGTACTGTGACCTCACCCTTCCTTTATGCCCAATGTCTAGCACACAATAATGAATCACAAATGCAAAGAAAGAGGAGCCTGTGACCCATCATCAAGACGGTGAAAGAACGATCAACAGAAACAGACCCCCCGAGGACTCAAGTGTTGAAATTAGCTGACAAAGATACACTGTTAAGTAATTATTATAAATACGGTAAATAATTTAGGAGAAAAGATGGACCAGATGGGTGGACACATGTTGAATTTCAGCACAGAAATGGAAACTCTAAAAAAGAACCAAATGGAACTTCTAGAACATCTCAAATAAAGAGGGTATCAGATAGGCATAACAGTGACTTGGGCACCACAGAAGGAAGAATTAGGGAAGTCAAGGTCACATCAATACAAACTCTCTGAACTGAAAAGAACGCGACTGTGCCTGAGCCCCTCTGGGGAGACGGCTTCCCTGCTCTCCCCTCAGGGTCTCACCTTAGGCCACAGGGCCCAGAGGCAGTTTCTCCACAGGGCCGTGTGCTGCCACGCCAGGTACTCATCCACACGGGCAGGGCCTGCAGGTCGTGAGGGTACCAGTGGTCGGGGACCCTATACTTGCGGGTCAGGTACCAGGGCAGATGGCTGTGGGGGAGGGGAGGGGATGATGGGCTAGGGATTTACACAGAGTCCTTTCTTCAGTCTTCCTGACTAGATTATCTGTCAGGTATCTGCCTGTCAAAAAACAAGGACAAGATACCTGTCCAAGGGATCTGTCTCATTTTCCAGACAAGGCAGCCAGGCTTGGAAGAGTGAAGGGACTTGCCCAGCACACAGCCTTTGGTGGCAGAGCTGAGAGTCATTTTGAGGCCTTTCTCCAAGCTCATCCCCCAGCAGTGTCCTGCCCAGTGTTCAGAGTCAGTTCTGATGGGACAGCCAGAGACAGTGTCCTGGAGCAGGTGCCATCAAAGCGGAGCCTTACAGAGGCTCAGTTCTTTTTGGTCTGCATCCACTCTTCTCATCTGACACCCAGACTGGCCTCGGGTGGCCTGATGACCTGCAGAGCCTTTCCTCTCATGCCTTTGTTCTCTGCTCCTTGTCATCCTTTCGCTCTCCCTGAAGCATCCTGTAGGAAGGCTGGAGGTGCCACCGGATCATGGGACTGCAGGACAGACGAGGGCCCTGGCGCTCTCCTCCGCCCTGGGTGAGGACGGCCTCCACGGTACGGGGACAAAGACGAGCACCGAGGACATGTGAAGCTGGGGCCACAGGAAGGCATCCAGGAACTTGGGGTGTCCCAAGGACTGGGCACCCCAACCAAAAGGGCAGAAAATCTGTATCTGCCACTGGACCAGGCTCCTATTAGGAATCCTGTACCCATGTCCTCTCTCTTTTTTTTTCTTTATTAAGGTATCATTGATAAACAATTATCAATGTATGAAGGTTTCACATGTGGTTACATTGTGGTTACATCATTCACCCATATTATCAAGTCCCCACACACACCCCATTGCAGTCACTGTCCATCAGCGTAGTAAGATGCTGTAGAGTCTCTACTTGTCTTCTCTGTGCTGTACTGCCTTCCCTGTGACCCCCCTACATTATGTGTGCTAATCATAATGTCCCTTAATCTCCTTCTCCCTCCCTCCCCACCCACCCTCCCCACCCCTCCCCTTTGGTAACCACTAGTCCCTTCTTGGAGTGTCTGAGTCTGGTGCTGTTTTGTTCCTTCAATTTTGCTTTGTTCTTATACTCCACAGATGAGTGAAATCATTTGGTACTTGTCTTTCTCTGCCTGGCTTATTTCACTGAGCATAATACCCTCTAGCTCCATCCATGTTGTTGCAAATGGTAGGATTTGTTTTCTTCTTATGGCTGAATAATATTCCATTGTGTATATGTACCACCTCTTCTTTATCTATTCATCTACTGATGAACCCTTAGGTTGCTTCTATATCTTGGCTACAGTACATAGTGCTGTACCCATGTCCTGTCTTAACACCACTCCCTAGCCTAGCTCCTTCTGCTCCCAGGTAATTGTTCAAGCCACCCCTGCAGAGGGCTGCAGGTCCCTGGAAGCCACAGACCTCCAGAGGGTGAGAGAAGACACAGAGAGATGCAAAAGCTGCACCCTGCCCCAGGAATTACCTGTGGGTGCTCGACACTGAGTGCCACAGGACTCGGGACAGTAGGGGCAGCAGGAAGGAAGAATAGCACTGGCCAAATGACAGAAGAATTCTTTGGGGGTGCATCCAGTTGGAGATTCCAGGGATGAGTTCTAAAGCTCCAGTTTCTTCTTCTGTGGGAGGAAGACTTAGGTGACAAAAGGGGTACAACAGGGAAAAGGTTTGACCTTCCCTAAAGAGGTTTCCACTTCTTGGGACCTGTTGTGATGTAAAGCATCCTTTGTCCTGGGGCCCTCCAATGGGTGAGGCCTACCCAGGGAATCTGCAGCCCAAACATGGAGCCATTGTGGAGCCCAGATACCCATGGGCCATCTGGATGCAAGTTGGGCCAGATGACTGCCCCTGGGGGACGCAGCTGTGTCCCCGGCCCTGCCCTGCACCCAGCTTGGGCTACTCTCCCCAACAACCACAGGAGGTAAGGCAGACACTTGCTCTTCCAGCCACACCTGTGACTTGCACACACCGACCGGTAGGGGCCTGGGTTCCAGCCCTGACTCTCTGTGGGATGTTGGGCAAAGGAGCCTTCAGCTCTGAGGATTTTAATTTTTTTTGTTTATAAAATAGAGGATTAGGACAAGATGGTTCCAGTGAGGTCTGGTACCAGCCCCAGGACCCCAGTTACGTCTCAGTCAAGGTGAAGTCCCTGTCCTTCAAGGCAGGCACCTTTTTCAGGGGGTTCACCTGGGCGAAGGCATCACTGAGGTGCTACCCTGCAGGGAGCCCACTGTGGTGGGTGGTGACGGGAAAACACTGAACACCTGCCCCCCTGTGCCCACTTCCTGCAACACCCAGGCCCCAATTATATGGCTCTTCTGCAGCCCCAGCTGTTCTCTTTTACAGCAAAGGCTGGTGGGGGCACTGTGAGAGGAGAGGTAGGCTGCTCTGCCAGATGGTACAAAATAGACCTCGATACCCTTTGCCCAAGTTCCCAGGAGCATAGCCGACTCCCCTGCAACAGAGCCCAAGGTGCCAGGAGGACGTGGTGCTCCAGCAGGGCCTTCACACACAACCCACCCACCACCTCTGCACCATCACCAGTTTAATGAGCTCACGCGCAGGGTGTCCCAAGCTCTAGGGGCAGGTCGCTAGCCATGGGAATGGAGCTCTGACCCTGCAATGCCCCCTTCCCTGTGGACTCTAAGGTCGGGTCAGCACACACAGAGAAGTGCCCTTTCCCTGGTATCTCTTTACTTCCAACCAGCTTCTATTGGGTCCTCTGTGTCCCCTTGCTCACCCTGTCCGGGGCCCTGGGGACATAGAGCTAGCCCCATCTTCTACCAGGGACACCCTGCTCTCCTCTCCTGGGGAAAAACATCTCCCACTTCACCCCTCTATTTAACAGCCCAGCTGGGATGTCCCCTCATCCCCATGCCCCATGCCCTCCCCCCTGTCCCACACTCTGCAGAGGCCACCCCTGGGCAGAACGAGTGGGCAGTCCCCAGGGGAGGCTGGGAGGAGATGATGATTCAGGCAGAGGGACAGGCCAGTGCAAAAGGCGGGTGAGGACCTACCACAGTTGGGGAGTGCTGGGTGGAAGGCTCCGCCACGCAGTGGCCCTGCTTGCCCACCCAGCAACACGCGGGTTCTGCTTCCCTGCATTGCCATGGGGGTCTGCCGGGGAAACACCCTGGTGCTCGGCATGCAGGGTTCACCAAGCTCCCACAGTGCCCTCCTGCTTCTTGCACACCCCGTGGGGTGCCTCCGCCCAGCAGGAACAAGAAAGGCAGAAGACGAGGTAAGTAAAGGCAGAGCAAAACAAGAGGCAGTAAGGGTCAGAGGGGGACCCCAGTGCAGACTGGGCGAGCGCAGAGAGCAGGGCTGGGAAGTCGGGGCCCTGGAGTAGTTGGTCCTGCTGGAGCAAAATTTCAGCAGTTAGGGGCCACAACGGAGGGGCTCGGCTCTGTCCCGTCTCTCAGCTCTGCCCCTGAACCCCGCTCCTTCCTCCCCGGTCTCTTTTCCGGAGGCCCTCTATCCCTGGGGCCCCACTGTTCGCGAGGGCGCTCTTCCTTCCTCCGAGCCCTGCCCTCGGCCCCTGTTCTCGCCTTCAGCTAAGCCCCTTCCTGCGTCTACTCCGCGGGGCGGAGCGGAGCGGGGCGGACACTCGGGTCCAGGATCCCCCCGCGGGCTGATCTTTCTCGGCGTTGCCCCGGGTTGAGGTTCCCCTAGGCGATTTAATCTCCCTGTTCCTCCCCTACCTCTCGGTTCCCCCAAACCCCGGCCGGGGCCAACCTTTGCGCAGCTCGAAGGGGGTGCCGTCTTCTTGGCGAAGATGTAAGACGGCGCAGCAGGGCTGGGGCAGCAGGTCCAGGTAGGGCTCCGGGCTAGCGGCGGCGCGGCGGGGCCGGACGCCGCAAAGCTAAGCGGCCCATGAGGCACGTGATCGGGGCACGGCCACGCCCCCCGCTCCCCATTGGGCGGTACCTGCACTTAGGCCCAGTCGCGTGGTGGGGGGAGTGTCTGAGGGGCCGGGCCAGGCACTGGGGGCCCACACTGCCGCGGCACAGGGATGGTCATCTCTGGGAGGGTCCAGCCGAGGGGCCCCCAGTCCTTTGCGTCTGATTTATTTCACTTAGCATGATGTCTTCTAGGTTCATCCATGTAGTAGCGTGTGTCAGAATTCCTTCCTGTCCCCATTTTACAGATGAAGAAATTGAGGCTTGGAGTGATTAGGGACCCAGGCAGCCTGGCTCCGGAGTCCACGCTCTTCGCTCCAGGCTCTAGGGATCCTGGTGCCAGCAAATGGCGAAGCCTCAGGGCTTATGTTCAGCGTTTTGCCGGTAGCTCACTTCACTTGCAGTCCCCAGAATCTGACAGCCTTGGTCTTCCTGTCCTGCCAGCACAGGGCCTCACGTACCTTGAGTTTGTTTCTTCCCTGCTTTGGGCCTCAGTTTCTCCATCTTTAAAATGATGGGGAGACATATAGCAATCTCACTTCTGGGCATAGATCCAAGGGTATGAAAACAGGGTATGGAAAAGATATTTGCACCCCATGTTGGTCACAGCATTATATGACTCCATCGTGGTGACAGACCGGCTCTAGAGACACCTTCCCTTGCTGACTTCGAAGTAGTAAGTACCCTTTCAGGAGGTTCGTGTGGCAAGGAGCTGAAAGTGGCCTCCCGCTGACAGCCAGTAAGAAATCCAGGACCCCTAGTCCTACCACTGCCAGGAAATGAATGCTGCCCACAACCTGCGCACTTCCGGAAGTGGATCCTTCCCCAGTGGAACCTCAGATGAGAACCCAGCTCGGGCTGGTACTTGGATTGCAGCCTTGCTGAAGACCCAGCTATGCCCACACTCCTGAGACAAAGAAAGTGGATAATAAATGTGTATTGTCGTAAGCCACTAAATTTGTGGTGATTTGTTATGTAGCAATAGCTAACAAATTCAGAAGGTCTTCTCCTTTTTTCTTTTATGTTTCATTAAAAGTATCGTTAATATACAATCTTATGTTGGTTTCAAATGTACATCACAGTGGTTCAACAGTCCCTGTGATCAACTTATATTGTGATCGCAAATTATTGGGCCCCTTTATCCCCCTCCCCCGCCACACCCCTGGTCACCACTAGTCACTCACAGAAGGTCTTCTTGAGTCTCCCAAGCTTTCTGTTGGAAGGGGCCTCACAGCAGTCTGGCACCCTTTGCTCTCACTCTGCCACATCCTCACTAACACTTGTTATTATCCGACTTTTTAATTATAATCATTTAGTGTGCTAAAGTGGTATTTTATTGTACTTTGCAGTGTCTTGATTATAGTAGCATTGTACTGTTTCACAATTGGGAAGTATGAGTCCTACAACTTTTTCAAAACTGTTTTGGTTATTCTGCATCCCTTGAATTTCCATATGAACTTTAGGATCAATTTCAATTTTTGCAGAGAAGTCAACTGGAATTTTGATGGGGATAGTGTTGAGTTCGTGGGTCCATGCGGATAGTACTGACATGTTAACAATACTAAGTTGTGAACATATAATCCGTGAATATGAAATGCCTTTCCATTTATTTAGGTTGCCTTTAATTCTTTTCCCCCTAATTTTTCAAATATAAAAATGCTTAAAATGTAGAAAATGGAAGAACTAGTACAGCAGAACTCAGATATACTATCTTCATATACATAATGCACAGTCAACACAACGTCTTTAGAAGGTAAGATACGAACATCGTGACACCTCACCAAGAAGACCTTAGCAAGACACTCTGAGTCTCCGGTTTACTTACTGTCTCTTTCCCTGCAAGAATGGGGGCACTGTGACGGCAGAGGTTTTTGTCTGTTTTGTTTGCTGCAGCTTCCTCAACACCAAGAATATTGCCTGGCACATGGTGGGTGCTCCTCCCGTTTGGGGATGGAAAAGACAGGATGTGGATTCTGAATCCTGCTCTGCCTGTCACTGATGTGAGACATGGGATCGTTTCTCCTCACAAAACTTGTTTCTTCATCTACAAAGTGGAAATAATATTACTAACTTCTCAGGCTGTTGCAAAGACCAAACAGGGTAGGAGGTAAGCTGCATTATTAGTGTCTTGAAGAAATATCTTCACTGTTATGGTCATTGCAGCATTATTCACAATAGCAAATATATAGAAACAAGTATCTGTTAAGAGATGAACAGGTAAAGAAGGTGTGGATATATCTATATGTCTATCTATACGATGGAATATTATTCAGCCATTTATTAAAAAAGAAGGTAATCTTGTCACTTGCAAGAACAGGGATGAACCTGGAGGTCATTATGCCAAGTAAAATAAGCCAGACACAGACAAATACTGCATAACCTCACTTATAGGTGGAATCTAAAAATGTGGAACTCTTAGAAGCCGAGAGTAGAATGTTGGATTACTAAGGGATGAGGAATGGAAGAAATGGGGAGATGTCAATCAAAGGGTACAGAGCTTTAGATATGCAGGATGAGTAAGTTCTGGAGATCTAATGTACAGCATGGTGACTATAGTTAACAATACTGAATGGTATACTTGAAACTTGCTAACAGAGTAGATCTGAGTCATTCTCAACAACCAAATAAATGGTAACTATGTGAGGCAATGGATATGTTACTTAGCTTGATTGTGGTAAATGTTTCATGATATATGTGTATATCAAAACATCACTGTGTACACTTAAATATATACAATTTTTCTCAATTATTCTCCAAAAAGAGTGGAAAAACAAATAAATCTGTGAGGGAGGAAATTGCAGTGTTAGCAGGTTAGATATCAGGTAGTTTAATTTCCTACCTAGCTCCATGAGGGAAGGTACTTGATCTAGTCTGTCCCTCTGGTGAGAGTGAACAATTCTTTTGTTCCTGATGTTAGGAGGAAAGCTCCCAGTCTTTCACCATTAAATATGATGTTCACAGAATAGAGGCTATTCAATTTTCTTATTCTTGAGTCCATTTTGGTAGATACGTATTTCTAGGAATTTTCCCATAATCTCTGTTATCTAATTTGTTCATATACAATTGCTCCCAATATTTCCTTATATTCCCTTGTACTTCTGTAAAATCAGTAGTGATGTTTCCACTTCCATTCCCGATCTTAGTAATTCAAGTCTAATTTTTTCTTAGTCATTCTAGCTAAAGGTTTGTCCATTTTGTTAATCTTTGCAGAAATCCAATTTTTTGTTTCATTGATCTTCTCTATTATTTTTCAATTCTCTATTTCATTTATCTCCACTCTAGTCTTTATTATTTCCTTTCTTCTTCTGGTATCGGGTTTAGTTTGCTCTTCTTTTTCTAGTTCCTTAAGGTGTAAAGTTAGGCTATTGACTTGAAGTCTTCTTTAACACATGCTGTGAACTTCCTCTTAGCACTGCTGCTGCTGCATCCCATAAATCATAATATGTCGTGTTTTCATGCTTATTTGTTCAAGGTGCTTTCCAATTTCCCTTGTGATTTCTTCTTTGACCCAGTTGTTGTTTGCGTGTATTGTTTAATTTCCAGATATTTGTGAATTTTCTAGTCTTCTAAGTGTGTTGATTTCTAATTTCATTCCATATTGTTCAAATAACATATCCTGTATGATTTCCATCTGTTAAAACTTTTCGAGATGTATTTTATGGCCTAACATACGGTCAATCCTGGATTATATTCCACGTGCACTTGAGAAGAATGCTTATGCAGCGGTCGCTTGGCGGAGTGTTCTGTGCATTTATCTGGTAGATCCATTTGGTTTATAGTGTCGCTCAAGTCCTCTTATTTCCTTGATGATCTTCTGTTTTATTCTATCCACTATTGAAAGTGAAGTATTGAACTCATCACTACTCCACTTAATAACTATTATTATAATAATAACTATTATTTTTGACAGTTGAATCACATTTAACCTTTAATTTCTAAATTATTTTTGGAAGCTGAGGGGACCCATGGCCACCAGACCCTATGCTCACACCGACTACACCAGCTTCAGCAGCAGTGGTGGTCGGTCCAGGTCTTTATTATTAGGCAAAGAGATGGAATTGCTTTCAGCATCTCCCCTAAGAAAGGAGGCTCAGAGGGCTGGGCTGGCCAGGCCCTGCAGGGTGGGCTGCTTCTAGTTGTACTTCTGTAGCCACTCGCAGATCCTCTCCTTGACTACCGGATCCAGGGTGGAACAGTCCCACTCTGCCAACTTCACCAGCCGGTCATGGGCCTCCCAGAAAAGGCCAGAGCCAATGGCCAGCTCCACCCTCATGCGCCACTCAGCCAGCTTGGAGCTGTTGAGGAAGACGTTATGGTTGCCCCCCATGGGCTATGGATAGACAGAGAGGAAAGAGTGGTCAGCCTGGGGACCAGCCCCACCTGGGTCCCCTCCTACAGCCTCAGGCTTTCCCTACATGCCTCCCCAAAGAGTGAGTCTGCTGACCCTGAGGCCTGGGCAAGGGGTCAGAGGCCAAGTAACAGATGTGGAGTCGGGGGGGGGAAGATCTGGAATCCCCCATGGTTCTTGGTCACTGGTCTTGCTCCAAGGCTCCTGAATCCCTCTCTGCAATGACAACTGGCCTAGATGGTTCCAACTCTCTGGGGTGAAGTCTCCCATGGGTCCTACCTTCTTCTTCCAGGGAAACCCCTTGTCCTTAGATGTGAGCGGGGAGAATTCAGTTCTTTCCTCCCCTCTATGTTGAACCTTCCTCTATGAACAAGTGCAGGAGCTTGGAATGGGACCCAACAGGCAGCCTATGAAACATATACCCAAGGTTTTGGGATGCCCAAAATGGGGTGGTGGTTGGTGAAATGTAAGGCATAGGGTGTGAAACATAGGAGGCTGCACCTGGGACAAAAAACCCAGAATGGTTGTTCCTGGTGCTGGTCTGCACTACATACTGACCAGAGACCTAACTGGCCAATTTGCATATTGGCCAAAGATGATGCTGGCCTCTGAAGCTGTTGACCAGTGTCTAAACTGGCCATCCTGCACACCAGCAAGGTCAGTACTGGCCACCACCACCCCTGCATCTAGAAACCACATAAATGCCCCACACGCAGGTATACCCCCAAATGCATGGTGGGTGCCCTCAGGCCCAGAGCCAGGGGAGCTGCTCTGTACAGTTGGAGCTCTGAAAAAGACGCACTTCGGCCAGAAGGGCACTTTGGAAGCCACTGGACACTTCCTGGGGAATCTAGTGGGAAGACTAGGCACCCGGGATCCTGGCTGAGAGACTGAGAAATGTTGCCTTCTTCTCCCATCCCAGGCTCACCTGCTAGCTCTTCCCCACACTGAGGAATCTTGGTGAAGCATGGATGACTGCGAACCTCCCTAGTTCAAAATCTATTTCCTGTCACTCCCACATGGAGTCCAGGCACCTAGACCTGACTCCCACAGCCCCCATGACTCCCCCTTCACCAGCCCATCTTCCAGTTTGCCCCCAAGGTCAGAGAGGAGTCCCCCCTCTCCCAGGCTCTGTCCCCATACCATCCCACTGCACACCTGCATCATCTCCACCGAGGCCACCAGGTCAGCCAGTGAGACGTAGTCCGCAGTGATGAACATCTTGTCCTGCAGAAACTTCTCCTCAAAGAGCTGCACGTTCTTTGTCACCTCTATCAGCATCTCCTCCATTTTCTCGGCTGGAACCTCCTCACCTGTGATCTTCGGGATCAGCAGCTGCCCAGGGTGGGGGAGAGGAGGGAAGAGGAGGCTGCACCCCACTCTCATTTGACCCTCCAGTCCTCAGTGCCCTTGTCTGCTACAGAGGTGTTAGAACCAAGGATGTAAAGTAGGTTCTCCTGTTTTGGCAGTTCTGGTTGGTAGAAGTTGCCTGGGGCCAACTGCTAGGAGCGTTTGGAGATCCCAGCAGGAAGGAATCTGTGGTTGATTAGTCTAGATGTCTGTCAGAGGTTTAGGACTACAAGCAGGGGTACATCTTGTCATCTTCAGATTTGTTGGTCTCTATGAACCCTTTGATATTTCTACTTCAGAATGAAATTTCTTTAATCTTATCCTGTCTTGAGATATATAATATCTCAATTTATATTAATAAAAGCCCCTTGTCCATGTGCTTCTCCTTGTCTTTACAAGGCTTTTCGATACTAATTGGCTTGTTCCACACTCCCAAGAGTTCTGTAAAGGCAGGCAGCAGAGGGAGCCGTGGAAACGAAACTCATGGAGGGATGAGGAACTTGCTTGAGCTCACCAGCCCTGAGCCCCA